AAATAACTGAAAATTTATATCCAGATCAGATTGCAAATGACCTGACTCAGTTACTTGAAACCTGACTTGGTTACTCAAGTATTGTAACTCAAATTATATAACATCTTCAAAGATATTTTTAAACATGGTGTATTAGGTTAAGTTGTAACCCATGTTCAGATTAGATTGCTGCATGTCTATATTTTACTTCACTTAGCAAATCTTTTTACTTCACTTAGATGGTAAACTTGAAACAGCACAGGATATTAATAATTCATTATTTGTAGAAATTCCAAATCGAATCATTAATAGTTAACTTTATGATGTTATTAAAATTTTCATGATTCATAGTCCATATTGCATACTGAATCCAAATTCTCTTTGCATAAAAGAGGGTTTGCAGCAAAAAAAAAAAAAAAAATTAAATTCTGAAAATAAAGGAGAACAACACTATTCATATGTAGACATTCCCTGTCACTTTTTATTTGATGAGAAAAATTTTAAATAGAAAGTTAGAAAAAGAGGGTGGTAATAAGGTAATAGTAAGAATGTATAAAGTTAATCCGGAGAATTATTTTCACTTAAATTGTTACTTTTACGCCTTGGGAGGATGTACGTACTGTTAATACATAGTTTTTAAAACATTTCATGAAGCTTTCATTTTAAATGGTTTGTTGCAAGATGACACTGAATGAAAAAATCCTCTTTATGAGACAGTTTTAATACATATGCAAAAGCAAATTAGACAGTTTATAAATTATTTTGATCTTCTGTAAACTGACAACCCTTTTCACCTTTTGAATACATACAAAGTTTTTATGATGGGGAATTTCATTCTCCGTTAAGTCTCACTTATAAAAGCTGAACAAGTTACTTTTCTCTAAGTTGAATAATTTTTTGAAAATGGTAAAACACTGGCAAATTATAATCTGCCTGCTAATGATGAACTCATAGATTTCAATTTAGAAACTTTTATTAAAAGTGTTTAATAATCAATTGACAAAGCTAATCGATTGAGATCACAGCTCTATTTCAATCAATCAAATGTATGTAATGCTATCTTTGCAGCATTGAAAGAACAACAAAGTGAAGAAAATCAACATTCTTTATTGTTTTTTATGGATTTATCAGCTGGTAGTGGCTAGAAAATGCTTACATATAATTATTTTATTGTTGAAACCAGTACTAGGGGATTAAGTCTGCTACTGCTGCATAGCAACAACTCTACTTACAAATGGATATAATTTGGATGGTTTACTCAAACTTCCTGTCCTAATATTGGATAACACCACATGTAATTTAACTTCTAACTCTATTCATGGACATTATCTAAAGTAAACTTATTTTTTGCTTAATGAGGCATCTGTGACACGGGTATTCAATTGAATACCCGTGTCACAGAGTGTTCCTTGAATTCAATTGGCTACATCAGATTCTAATTTATATTTTATTCTGAAATGTTAGCAGTTCTTTTCATATTGACTTATTCAATGACAATAAAAATTCAATGGTCAAACATTTGATAGAGTATATCTGAAACTCAATACTTTGATAGTGTATCTTTAAAAAAATCATGTTTCTCTCATGGTCAACTATATTTTACATTTTCAAGATTAAACTATTAAATGCTCTCACATTTAATAGTTTGTTGTTTAAAACTGAAAAACATCCAATTTAAGGTAGGGCAGGTAAAAAAATGTTACACAAGTAATTTTATATTTTATAACGCTCTTAGTTACTAGTTTTTTTGTTTCAAATATTTACAGTTCATAAACAATAGTTGTATTTTTGTTGACTTCAGTTATTAATTAAACTTTTTATTTATCATTTATACTTATTATTTATTTAAATATCATTTTATTGCATCATTTAACCAAATTAGTATGAAAAGTACAAATTGCATAACTTTTATCAGAAAGAACTAATACTGCTCTAAAAATTTAATATAAAATTTTAAAAGTTGCATTAACGAAAAAACAACTTTTTGAATGATTTAACAAATGATATACAATGATTTATGTGCTATATTTTATTTTAAAATATATTTAATTTATTAAGGATTAATGTTTTACCATTAAACACTTCATTTTTTTGAAAAAAAAATAAAAATAAAGCCAGTTTTGTAACTTTTTAGTTTTTTAACTTAACTAGGGCTTGTCCTTTATCTTCTTAATAATAAATCAACTGCAGACATTATTTTTTCACAGCTGAAACACTCTTTATTTTAACATTCATTTGCTGGTGATATTCAGGACTTATGCCGTTTTCAGATAGTAAATTTTCAAAAATTAGTTCAAAATAATAAAATAAAGTTAAACTTTTTTTGAAACCCAGTTTTTGTACTTTGTCTGCTATTATAAATGATTTTAAAAAGTTATTGTTATAATTCATAGCCAATCATGTAGAGCTAGGTCGTGATATTAGCCAAGCAAGTGCTGTGACTTGCAGTGTCTTTAGAGCTAGGCTGTTAAACTAGCTAAGCAAGTGGTTGCAGTGTGCGTAAAGCTAAGCTGTTATGCTAGCTGGCTTTTTTTATAACTAAAACTCTATTTAAAAAATAAATATAAAATAGTGTTGAGCAAGATTGCCAACCTTTTAGTCAAGCAGTGTATTTAGCAGAGGTGTGACAGCATTTAGTAACAAAAGGTGTTACTGATGTATATTTAGATTCTATTGTCTAGCCTTTTATAATTATTTTGAAAACACCTAATATCTGTTAAAATTTAGCCTAATGTAATATGAATCTACAATTGTCTTATGCTATGTGCTATTGCTCTGCATAATTGTGTTAATGTTATTGCTGTTTTGTGTAGACAGCTTGGCTTAATTTTGTGATGTTATGTTGGTACCCATGGTTTAAGTTGTTATGTTGGTACCTATGGTTAAAGTTGTTATGTTGGTACCTATTGTTAAAGTTGTTATGTTGGTACTTATGGTTAAAGTTGTTATATTGGTACCTATGGTTAAAGTTGTTATGTTGGTACCTATGGTTAAAGTTGTTATGTTGGTACCTATGGTTAAAAATGATTATAGTTTCATTTCTCTCCCAAACTGTTTTTATTTATTTACTAAACGCCAAGACAACACTTTATATTATTATAATACAATTTGTTTATCTCAAACTCATTCTTTTAACTTTAGTGTTTTGATCTTTGAATAAGATTTTATAGTTGGCTTTTTATTAAAGAAATTCATTTCAAAATTGATCCTATTGCAAAAATGATCTTGTAATATAGTAATTTAAAAAAAAACTGTTTTATATTTTATTAGAGATTCTTTCAATTTTTCAATATTTGACTATTACTATGTGATCACAATTATTTTAATACATTTTTAATCATTGTCCCTATCCACATTTTAAAAATATGATAAATGCTGAAATAAATTAATAGTTGGCAGACATAACTCTAAAGTAGGCCGATATTAATGTCCCTATCCACATTTTAAAAATATGATAAATGTTGAAATAAATTAATGGTAGGCAGACATAAAATGATAAAGTAGGCCAATATTATATTTTAGATTTTATTTTAGTACATTTTTGTTATTTAGTTTTGCTGCATTACTAAATAAAATAAAGATGGCTTGAGTAATAAAGCAGAACCAAGTTTCAAAGCTTAAAAATAAAAAAGTAAAAAATAGTTAAGGAAACAATTTGATATTATAGGAGCTAAAATATTCAATATTTTATTTGATATTATAGGAGCTAAAAATCAACTTTTAATATATCCACTTTGTTATGCTATGCGCATATAATACTCAAGCAATCCAAGAAGAAATGGTAAGTAAAGATTTCTAGTGATGCTTAGATCATTACTTACTACCATTGTCTGTAATTTATTCAAAGTAAATATAGAATATGTAGAAAGTGTGAATCATGACAAATATTACGGGTTTAGAAAGCTAGTTACATATGAATAACTTTTAACAATAAGTCTATTGGTTTAACAAAAATCTTTTTTGATGTCAAGTGTTCTAGTTCAGTGTGAAAAGCTTTTAAGATTCTTAATATGCACAATTTAACAAAGGTTCAGTGTGAAATGCTTTTAAGATTCAAAATACACACAATTTAACAAAGGTTTAGTGTGAAACAATTTAACAAAGGTTCAGTGTGAAACAATTTAACAAAGGTTCAGTGTGAAACAATTTAACAAAGGTTCAGTGTGAAACAATTTAACAAAGGTTCAGTGTGAAACAATTTAACAAAGGTTCAGTGTGAAATGCTTTTAAGATTCAAAATATGCACAATTTAACAAAGGTTCAGTGTGAAATGCTTTTAAGATTCAAAATATGCACAATTTAACAAAGGATCAGTGTGAAATGCTTTTAAGAAAATTTAACATCCAAATTAAACTAATATAAAACTTAAACTTTTTTTAGTTTAACAAAGGTTTGATTTGGTTTTTTTGGTTTGATTTAATTTTGGTTTAAAATTCATCCAAAATTAAATCAAACCAATTCAAACTAAAACTAACATCAGTAATAACATTAATTTAAAAACATTTTAAAATTTAACTGAATAAACATGAATAAAATATTATGTAACTTCTAAATAAAATCTTTCTTTGGCATATCTACTATGACTCAATCTAATGACCATTAGTTTCTACCTTCAATTTACTTTTACTTTATAACAAATGAATAACCACAATTAATAATTAATTATGATTATTTATTTGTTATAAAGAAAAACTTTTTCAGATCATTTCACCATACTTTACTTTCTTTAGTTGGTTAAAATTAAAAATTTTAAAACCAAATAACTTTTAGGCTTTTAAAGCTAGAACAATTATCAAGTATTAACAATAGAACAATTATCAAGTATTAACAATAGAACAATTATCAAGTATTAACAATAAAACAATTATCAAGTATTAACAAAAGAACAATTATCAAGTATTAACAATAGAACATCAAGTTACATATAAGTATTAGCTTATATATAACATAAATATTTATAATGAATAAAACAAAATTAATTACTTCTATGTTTTGATAAATTCTTTAAAAAACTTTCTTACTTTGGATGACTGCATTGTCTGTGCCTATATTGTACTCCACCACCACAGCTTCTTGAGCATGCAGAAAACTCATCACTCCAGCTTGACCATCCACCATCAATAGCTTTAACATCTCCTGCAGAAACGCATTCTCCCCTATAACAAAACTAAAAAAAACATATTAAAAGTACTAAAACCTTATAAAATACAGAACCTTTTATACTTTTTATAAAGTATAACATAAAGTTACATATTTAATTATGTAACTTGCTAAGGTAAGTAGTAAGGTGTAAATTGAAAAGGTAAGTAGTAAGGTGTAACTTACTAAGGTAGGTAATTTGGTTACAATTATTAAGATAGTAATGAACAAAAAATAACAATATTTTAAAAAGTTAATCAAAAATAAAAAAAATTAAAAAAGTCAACCAAAATAAAATTTTAACAAAGGTTTTAGTAAGAATTTGATTATTAAATAAAAAAGTAAAGGAAAATAAAACAAGTAAATATTTATTAAATATGTTAATACATAACAAACAACAAGTTGTCCTACTCATGATTATAGGTAACTCATCATTGTAATTGTATAATTGTATTATCATGTTGTCTCATTGTATTATCACCTAACATCATTATATAATCATGTTAAACTATTGTATTATAATGTTATGTTATTTTATTACCAGGTTGTACCATTGTATGATCATGTTATACAATTGTATCATTAAGTTGTACCATTTGAATAAAAAGTTTATTCCTCCCCAAGCTGCGCTGTTGATTAAAATATTATATGCACAACAAAAAAAAAAGATTTATTCAAAAAAAAAAACTTTGTTCTTAATAATAAATTGTTACTTTTTAACCAATATCTGATTTTTTAAATGCATGTTTTTTAAAGCACTTTTATTTAGTTCAAAAACTTTACTTTTAAACAAAAAAAAGTGGAATACATTGCTAATATAGACACCGATACCTAGAACTGGTAAAAAATTGGATAATCTTAACACAAACTTGCTTGTAAATACTTGGTGAAAGTTTTGGGGTCTTTTTCTTGGTGCATTAAAGCTATGGGATCAATGATTTATTACTATCTGTGTCTCACTACTACCCATCCTCCCCTACAAAAAAGTTATATATATATATATATATATATATATATATATATATATATATATATATATATATATATATATATATATATATATATATATATATATTTCTTTGCTACTTTTTCCTTACTCTTACGTTTCTTTAATGTCTATAAACTGTAAACTGCACTTCTTTATTTTGATTATCTGTCAATTCATAAGAAAGTTGCGAACTCATTATTTGAATCTTGAGATAATAAATAGATTAAAGACATTAAGAAACGTAAGAGTAAGGAAAAAGTAGCAAAGAAATCTGGGTAAAGTAGCAAAGAAATCTGGGTAAAGTAGCAAAGAAATCTGGGTAAAGTAGCAAAGAAATCTGGGTAAAGTAGCAAAGAAATCTGGGTAAAAATTCAAAAAGGAAGAGCAGGTTTTTTGGATTGGTAAAGATAATATTAAGGAAACCTAAAAAAAAAAACAAGCCTTGATAAACTTTCATATTATGCTGATATCAAATTTTTAAAAGACCAAAAGTCCAGTTGCCTTACGACTTTGAGGAGAAAAGACATGAGATATAAGAATGTAAATAAAGAAAAGAAGCAGTTAAAAAACTGTAATATTAAAACAATTACCCCAAGTAGACAAATCAACTACAGAGCTAGAGATTTTTTCAGACATAAGCAATATTAGTCCAGATTCAGATATTTCTTTTGATTTAGTGTAACCAATTAAAGCTGGACATTAAAAGTAGCATCGACTATTCAAAGTTTGTAAAATCATATTGCAAATTATATACTCAATCTATTGCTAACACTTTCTTAGAAATCTATAAACTGAACGCTGTAAAATTTTGCGAGATGGCTCTAAAGAAAACATTTTCCCTAGAGGAGATTACAAAGAGTTATTAAAACTGACTCTTATGTACTTATGCCCTGAAAGAGTTTTTCAAATTCAAGCTGCAGGGTGCGTGTCGCATGTGCATTTTATGTCCAAAGCTATTTATTATCTCGAGATTCAAATAATGAGTTCGCAATTTAATGAATTCGCTTTCTTATGAATTGACAGATAATCAAAATAAAGAAGTGCAGTTTACAGCCAAGTTTATCTTAATCTTTTATTCTGTCTGGTTTTTAAAAACTTCTTTACCTTGTGCTGCGCCTTACCAAGATATATAAAAGCCTATTGACAAAATAAAAAATATAGAGAATATGTAGAACAATATGTTCAGAATTCTGAAATAATTTTTAATGGAATTGATGCCACAATGGTTTCAATGGAATCACATTTATGGTACCTTGATAAAACCTTGGTTCCACTTGCTCTTCTGGACCATGATATTTATGTTGTAGAGAGAAAAGATGTTGTGAAAATGCTCTTCTCAAAACCAGTTCCTGAATTTTTTTTGGCATTCTAAAAAATTTAATTTGTTAAAAGCTCCTAACTTTAATCTAGAAAAACCAACAAGTATTACGCAATTAGTTGGAGAAAACTCTTGATTCATATTTAGTTTGTTAAATCTCACTAAACTGATTGATAAACTGTGGTTAAACAGCCCGGCACCACTATGGGAGTATGTTGACCAGTTTAAAATTTTTTCCCAATTTGTCTCCAACCTTGCAGTGGTTAATGACGTTTCCAAAAGATCTATTAAATTTGTATCAAACTTTGTAAACAATGTTCACAATAAAGACAATCGTCAGGAGTTACTACTTGCTATTCACCAAAAGAAAAAAAACCTTTACGAGGCAAAGACTAAGGAAGATTTTCAACCAGAATATGAAACAATTGGAAAATAAATAATATAGTTTATTTAATGATGAAATATTGAAAATATATAATTTATAAAATATATATAATTTTTATTTAATAATTTTTTTATAAAAATAATTGTGCAACAATATCAGGAGAATCATTTAAAGTTAAAGAGCTACCATATACTTGCTAATCTTGAGGCAACAAAACTAATAAAACAACTTTTAACCATGTTGCAGTAAGTTCATTAAGTCTTTTTATTTTATAAAGAACTAAAATAAAATAAATTATTATTATTAGGCTATTAAGGTTAGCATAAGGGTCATATTAGCTCCAAGGATAAAAGAAAATTTTTTTTTAAGACCTATACAAACCTCATTTGACATTGTTATAAAAACTATTCAGGTTATTGTTTTTTCCGCGTCTAAAAATAGTTTATTAGGAAATCAAAAACATTTTTTATATACCACCGAGTTATAAAAAGGGTTTTTGCAAAGAAAAAATTTTCACCAATTTCAGAAGATTCTGTAGACTAATTTCTTAATTTTTTTAGCATGCTCGTTTTATGTGATTAATATTCGATCCAACATAGTTTAGTTTAGTTTATTCAGTAATCAAATTTTACAAAAAATGTTATAAAATTTGACAGAGCTGACATATCTGATCCATATAGTTCTATTATTTGTGAGTGTTCTAATGCTGCAACCTTGACTTGAAAATATTAACAGATTTTGAGTTGATGGTGTTGCTGGAAAGTGCATTCCATGATGCACAAACACAATTTGTTAAAAAGTTGAGTCTCTCTATACAGTTTTTAACTTGCTGCAATTGAAGCATAAACTCATGGTTCCGCCTTAAGTTGTATGACACTGATTTGGAGAAGGGGTAACGTTGTGGTACACATTTTGAATTGTTTTATAAGATCTCGTCTTTGCCTCCTTGCTTCTAGTGTTGTCAGTCCAAGTGCTTCTAATCTTTGTTCATAATTATGGTGTATCACAAATTTCAAATCATCAGACACAAAAATACCAAGGTCACACTCAACTGTAGTACATTTTAATTGAAAATAAAATCCATCTTAGCCTGACATTGTGTAATTACGAGTTGATTTAATTTTTTTGCGACCAACATGCATAACCTTACACTAAACAAGATTAAAAAACATGTGCCAATCTCTAGTCCATTCCACTCAATATCGTTTTGCAGAGAAAGGGCATCAGCTGGTGTTTTTATTATTTTCATTATTTTGCTGTCTCCTGCATAAAGTTTTATATAGCCGGAAATGTTATCTGGTAGGTCGTTAATGTATATCACAAAAAGTAAAGGGCCTAAAACGGATCCTTGAGGAACGCCACTCGTTACTTTTTTCCATTCAGCTTTGTTATGTCCAATTGTAACTCTCTGTAGACGCCTGGATAGCCATAATTTGATCCATTCTAAGAGCAATCCTGTATGCCATAAGCTTTCAATTTATGTATAAGTCTTTTGTATGGTACCTTGTCAAAGGCCTTAGTTAAATCGATATAGACAACATCAACAGGTTTATTACTATTAGCGGCTTCAGTACAAATGTCTCGAGATTCCAACAGACTTGTTGTACATCCTTTCCTTTTTACAAAGCCATGCTGAACTTTAGTAATTAAACCACTGGTTAGCAAGTGCTCAGAGATTGATTTGTGTATTATTCCCTCAAGTATTTTACATGGTATTGATGTTTTCAAGACTGGCCTGTAGTTACTACAGTTTAACTTACATCATTTTTTTGAAAATTGGCGTAACTTCTGATTTCTTCCACATATCTGGAACTTCTGGAGTCGCAATCAAGGAATTGAAGATAAGTGTTAGAGCCTGCACATTGTTTTAGGGCTCGAGGATGTATTCCATCAAATCCTTTTGATTTGGTCACATCAAGACTCATCAATCTTGATTTAACTTTTTTGTAGATAATAATTATTTCTCTTTCAGTACATTTAATGTTGATTCGATTTTGGAAGTCTGGTGTAAGTCCTTCAAGCTCTATTTCAAATACAGATTGAAAATACTGGTTTAGAGTCAAACATATTACTTGTTGGTCTTCTGTAATTGTGTCTTGATCAAGATTGAGTGAGCAAATATGCTCATGTGTATGCGTTTTATGATTTACATAGGCATGCAGTTTTTTAGAATCATTTTCAAAGACACAAGCGGTTTCCTCTTCTTGTTTTAAAACTGCTTGCTTGACTACTGTTTCTGCTATCTTGCATTCTGTTTTGTATAAACTACGAATGATTGTATGAGTTTCTCTACCAGCCGATATGTATTGACACCAAATTTTATGTTTTTTGGATAATGCTTCTTTGAATTTATCTGTAACCCAGCTATCTTCTTTCTCTATGAATTTAGTGCTTGTCAAAGGAATGTGTAATCTTACGGCTTCATTGTATTTATTAACAAATAAAATGTATTTTTCTGACTCTAAAAGCCCATTAAAATTTCTTAAATAATCATATTCTGCAATGTTTGAGGAGAGTGCCTCGTAATTGACACTCCCTTCAACATCTAAACATTTGTAGTACGTGTGGCAGAAATTAAAATCCCCGTAAATGAGTAGTGAAGCACATCCAAGGGATTTAAGAGATTGAGATGTTTGTTGGGGCACTGCGCTGTAGTTTTGCAGCTTTGACTGTATCTTGAACTTCACTTGGTTTGGCGAAGATAGTTGATTTTGCAATGGCTGATTTAATACTGTCGATTGGTCTGATATTGCATTCCCATTGGTGAATGACGTAAAAAAAGGGTCGATTGAGGATACCTAGGTTGTCGAGTTAGGTGTTTTTTTTATTTTTTTCTTTGTTTAGTTTGTTGAACTGGGCTTGTTGTGCTGGTGTACGTTCTTTCCTAATAAAGATGTTTTTTTACTTTATGTCAATACCCTTGTAGTCAGTTCCCTTGTATCAATAGAGAGTACTTTAATCTGATTTTTAGGCTTTTTGAGAGTAACACGTAGTAGACTAACGTTTTTTGAGGTTGGTGTATTTGGCTTGATGAGTAGCTTGCATACTTTCTGCACATTCACCAGTGATACTCCAGCTGAATTAAAAAAATTGTTTACATCTATTTTATTTTCATCATCATTGTTTGTTTCAGAAATTTCAAAACCTGTAATTATGACGTTTCTTTCATTTAATGAAAGCAAGCCAGCATTTATTACTATATTGCGAGTTGTTTTTTGTTTGGTTTCCAATAAGAGCAGTTGCAAATGTTTTGTTAAATGGATTTTTTCCACTTATGACTTCATTTTTTTGGGCCTTGACCTCCGCTTTCAAGTTTTATTTTTTCAAAATCTCAATTCTTTGGTCGTATATCATGTTTTTCATAACTGTCATTTTATCTCTCATTTTTCAAATGACAAAATGCAAAAACACACCCAGCTGACCATATTTGGAAGCTTTTTGATAACCTTCAGTTAATGATAGTTGTTCAAATTTTCTGTCATTAATCTTTCAATTTAAAAAACAACTGGCTGCGTGTCAGTTGAGATATTAACTTTAGATGCTGGCTTCTTCTTAACACAACAAGAACTAGTCTCGCCAAGTCTTGAGTAGCAAGAAGGGCTACCACCTTTAATAACAGTGGATTACCTCCTGGTCGTGAATTATTTATTATAATTAGTTAATCTTATTACACAGGGACTAAAAAGTTTCAGTATGTGTTTTTTTCCCTATACATATATTGTTTAAAAGAATCAAAAATTTTATAGGATATATTTTAAGGTCCCTGCCAGACATTTAAAACACCCAACATTTTTGGCCTAAAATCGAAATGAGAGCCCTTAAAATTATAATAATTATTTTTTTGCTCAAACTTATTTTCATGTAAATAGTCAATTTAAAAACAGATTTGTGAATTCAATTGGGGAGGAAGGGGTGGAATTCAAACAGCATATTAGCATAGTAAGCTCATTGAGAGGGGAGGGGATTCAATTTAAAAGTACTTGTTAGTAACTAAATGTTTTTGAATAAATAACAACTTCAAAAAAAAAAACCAAACTGTATCATTGTTGCTCAAAGTTCGTCAGCTAACCAATAAAAAAGTTAAAATTCTGGCTAAAGATCCTAGTTTGCCAATGTCAAAGGATATATGGTGTAAGGGAGTTAAGGATATAGTATCCCTCTATGCACACACAAGCCACCCCTTATACACTGGCCCTGAGTAAGGTGGAATTGTATTTCCGTCAACCCTTTTTTTGAGTCCACAAAAAACAGGTTTTAGCAGTGACATGGCTAATGGATCAAAGCCCCGAATTTGAAGACATTCCCTAATCCATTACCTTATTAAACACTTATGATCAACTTTAAAGCGCAAACTCTAACTAAAATTTTTTTTTCTATTTATACAATTTTTTCTAATTAAAATTTTGTTTACTTGTTTAAAGACAAAAAAAAAGACAATAAAAAAAGGAGAGGGGAAGGGGGATTTCAAAAGCATATGTACTGATTGGGGGGGGGGGGGAGACTTAATTATACACATGGCACAACTTTATAGACAACCCCAAAGTCTTTTTGAAGGTAGTCATATTATTATTACACTCAAGACAAAAATGATCTTTCTTGGGAAATTACACCCTAATCAAATCTTTTCCTTTGATTAAATAAGAAACCCAGAAAACAAATGATTATGTATTTTTTATTTTGACCTGCACATGAGTCACAAAATAATTTTAAGTGTTTGAACATCTCCACTTAAATAATTTATTATAAAATGAAAAAGGTGATTTCAATAGTTTTAAAAGCATAAATAAATGCAATAGTTTCATAAGCATAAATGAAAACTTGATTGCTCAGGTTTTGGAAATGAATAATAAAAGATAAAATTAATTTTCTTACATAATAAAAGCCATTTGTAAAACGCCTATGATGTTTAAGTTTTTATCAAAATTAATAGAAATTGCTTTAAATTTTTGTTCTTTGCCTGCTTTGAGTAGAACTTCTTATTTTTGCCTGCAAAATGTATCTTTTTTTGTTGTTGATGAATGTCAAATGGGAGTTTAAGAGAACCTGGTTTAGATGTTAAAAATTGACATATCCCTTATTTGAAATTGAAAGTTTTGAAAAAGAAGTTTAAACTAAATTAAAAACTACTGCTTGCAAGCACAATAAAAACTTTTATAAATTTCAAACAATGCACATTATCAATATCTACACCTAACCTGTTTAGCTATTTAAATCTTTACCTTAGAAAGAGAACAGGTTGTACCATCTGCTGCAGGATATGAGCTTGTGAAACATTTATCTGGATTAGCAGGGTTTGTACATTGAAGTTTGCTGCATATTTTCTCCATCTGAAACATAATATATTAAAACCAAAAATTGCAATGAAAATTTTATAACATAAATTAATTTTTTAAGTATATACATCCCACAAAATCTGAAGGATTTCAGGTTGGTGCAAGAGCGCTGTACTTAACAAACATCAGGATTGTACTTAGTTGAGTTCAGGTCAACAAAATTTTGCTTTTAATTTTTTACATCCTGTTACAAAAGGGTTAAGGATTAATATGTTATAAAAGCATTGCTTTAATTAACTGTTCAGTTAGGCATATTACAACTTGTTTAGAGTTTTTTCAAGAAACAACTTTTTAGTTTTTTATTAATAACTGCTTTAATAAAAAAATCTTATGTAATTTTAAATTTAAAAAATGTTTGATATATATCTTAATTAATATGTTTTTTAAACAATATGTTTCTTCTCCACATTGTTTATTTTAACTTATCCATAATAAGACTAAAATTTCCTATTAAATTTCTGATCTTAAATAACTTTAAACTGTAAAAATATAAATGAATGGTATCTAATAAAATAAATTAATATTAGATTTTAAAACTTAATAACATAAAAATAACGCTAGAATTTTAAGTTAAAATAGCATGAGAACAACAGACATTTAAAAAAATTACCTTTTAAATAAATTAAATAGCAAGGTTGCTATGCATGTTATAAATGAATTTAAGAAAAAAATAAAAAAATAGTTTTTTTTCAAAGTAAAACATGTCTTATTTAAAAAAATAAACAATTACAATAAATTATGAGAAAAAAAATATTATATACTTTTTGATATTTTTTTTTGATACTTTTAGAAACTCAGGTTGGCAGTTGATGGTTGTAATAAAGATAGTACGGCTTTTTTGTCTGCATTGCCAAATGCTGACGTGGATTTTACAGGCACAATTTAAAATTGTTATTAATATAACTATTAGTAATTATTAGTTATTAATTAATAAAAATATAATAATTATTTTATACCACTAATATAATATCCCTTTTAATTAATTTCTTTTTTAGTAGAATAAATATTTTAGAAAATTTATTGTTAAAAAGTATTGTCAGATTATGATATGCACAATTTTAACTTGATACACTGGGGACACTGGGGAGCAACAAATACACTGGGGACACTGGGTAGCAACAAATACACTGGGGACACTGGGTAGCAACAAATATTAACAAACACTTAACAAAACAGTTTTCAAATACTAAATAGTGATAACTATTAACAAAAACTTGTAAAAACATATGTAACAAGCAGATGTAAGAAACACATATAAAGAGCACATGTAAAAAAGACTTGTAACTAAAACTTAAAAAAAACATGAGTAAAAACACTTGTAAAAAACACTTGTAACAAACAGTTGTAACATAAACTTAAGCCAATAAACACATATTAAAAAAAAACCAAAACAGTTTTTTGAAATAAGTCAAAACAAATAAACATTTAGCTATTTTTGTTTATATTTTTGGTTGATCAGAATATTTAATCGTCTTACATCATTTTGATGGCATAATTTAGATCCAGTTCCGAATTGCATTTCACATTGTTTGTGCAAATCATACAATAAACCTGGTTTATTATCCATTTTTTCATAATCAACTGACTTGGCTTTAACTGGTGGATCAAGAAGACACTTAGCTTGGTCTTTTCTAAATTATATACATTTTCATATTTAAGTTAACTAAATTATATATATATATATATATATATATATATATATATATATATATATATATATATATATATATATATATATATATATATATATATATATATATATATATATATATATATATATAAATAAATATATATATATATATATATATATATATATATATATATATATATATATATATATATATGAAAAATTACATATATCACTATATATTATTGCCAAACTTATTAGTTTTATTAGTGTCCATTGGAGCGTATTTGACACAAAACCCTTGGCAGCCATTACAACCAAGTATTGGTGAAAAAGAGTTTCACCTTTGCTTTATAAGAAAACATGAGCAAAGGTGAAACTTATATCATGCGTACATAAACTTTATGTTATGTAATGTTAAAACATACTTGAACATATATCAAGTTTTACAGCTTGACTTTCACTTAAAAACTGCATTGCGTCGACCTCTTCTTAATTTCTGATCTTTAGCATTTATATCTGTTAAAAAAATTTTTTATATAGTTTTAAAATTTCGATGAATAATGTGCCAGAATGGCCAAGTAGTGTGCTGAGCTTTTAAACAAAAAAGCTGTGGTTCGAGTTCAAGGCCCGTCTACTCTTTTTTAAAATCTTTTAGAATCTTTTAAAACTATTTGTGAAATTAAACAAGTTAAATGTAACAAGTTATGTAATTTAAAACATATTTAAACATATATCAAGTTTTACAATTTGACTTTCACTTAAAAACTGCATTGCTTAAACCTCTACTTAATTTTTGATCTACAGCATTTATTTCCATTATAAACAAATTTTATATGGTTTTAAAATTTCAATAACCAATGAGCCAACATGGCCGAGTATTAACCGAGTGTCAATTATTTAATATTGATACAATAAGGAAATTTAGAGTTATACATCTATTTTAACACGCCCCTGTTAAACATTCAAAATTGAGTGCGCAACAGTGACAGAATTTAGTTAACCATCAAAATAGTATTATACTCTATTATTTTTTGACTTCATATACTTTTTGGCTGATCCTTTATCTAAACTTTAATATAAGGGATTGTCCATAAATTACACAACGCTAAATTTCACAATCGAAGAAAATAAAAATGATCAAAATTTTTCCTCGCAGAGTCAAAAATGTTAATAAAAAAAAATCTATATAGCTCATTAAGTTTAATGAAAATCGCCATCCTAAAGAACTAAAGATCTCTTCTGCTTTTTTAAAAATAAATTTAGTGTTGCATAATATGTGGGTGATTCCTTAGCATTTATAATGCTATAAGATCTTCTTAGTTCTGCTATACTGTTATAAAATAATATTGATATTATAAAATAATTATAAATAAATATTTAACAAAGATACTGCTATAAAATTTTTGCTATAAATATTATACAAAATGCTTTACCCATGTGAGACTTAACAAATCGCAAAAACTGTGGTAGAAAACGTGTGAGTTCATCACAAGAAAACAGATTTTTTAAGAATATTGTTAATAGTGAGCCCCACATAACATCTGCAAGATCGCAATCGCAGGCTCAGATGAAATTTTGCAAGAGTTTAAAATACAAGACACTGAATGGTGGAAACAGGACTATAATTAAGTTAGAAGACCTGTGGGAGAGTGCCAGAATCCAAAGTGTACCAAAAAATACAAAAATATATAATATGCACAAAAATATATTTCAGCAAGATTTAGCACATTTTTGCACAGTTAAAATAGTTAAGAAGTACAGATAATAATATTGAATTATTATCCATTGAATTATTGGCCCTCAAGTTCATCTAATCTGAATGTCATCAAGAACTTCTGGAATAATATTATTATTTTGTATAATAATATTATTCCAGAATATTATTCTAGAATATTATTCCATATATTATTCATATATATTATTCCAAGAACATTATTCCAGAATATTATTCAAGAATAGTATTATTATATTGAAACAGAAAATTGCAGGACATCAGCCAAAATCTGAAGAACATCTTCAAAAAATTCTAAAAGAAATGTGAACTGATAAAATCACACCAGAAATTTATAACATTAGTGTGTAATAAGCTAAGAAGAATGCAAGCAGTGCTTTATAAAAAGGAACATATATATATATATATATATATATATATATATATATATATATATATATATATATATATATATATATATATATATATATATATATATATATTTATATATATATATATATATATATGTATATATATATATATGTATATATATATGTATATATATATATATATATATATATATATATACATATATATATATATATATATATATATATATATATATATATATGTATATACATATATATATATATATATATATATATATATATATATATATATATATATTTATATATATATATATTTATATATATATATGTATATATATATATATGTATATATATATATATATATATATATATATATATATATATATATATATATATATATATATATATATATGTATATATATATATATATATATATATATATATATATATATATATATATATATATATATATATATATATATATATATATATATATATATATATATATATATATATAATAAAAAAGAAGAGAAAAAATAATAACAAACTAATCTTTTTCAGAGTTTGGATGAAAACGATGAAAAAATAAGATTATTCATTTTATTTTGATGGAAGAAATTTTTTTCTTGTTAATTTTATTTTGATGGAAGAAATTTTTTTCTTGTTAATTATAACTTTTATGTTATCAACCTAGAGCTTATAAGAGATTTATAATTAGGTTTGTTTTTCTTGTTTGCGAGGATGAATAATAATGTATTCAGTTAAGTTGACATTTAAGGAAATATATTTACTATTTAACCAGTAAAACAATAAAGAATTTTTTTTATTTTCATTAAAAAACTTTGTAAGTGGTTTATTAATACATAAAACTGTCATCATCATTATGACCAGAGAATTCATAAAAGAGCACAATACAAACTCTGTAGAACCCCATATTTAGTAACTTTTAAATATATAAAGAAAATCAATCATCAGCAACACTGTGTACTCTGTAATTTAATTTTTTAATTAGAATGCTGTGATCAACCATAATAAAAGCTTTCCAAAGATCCATGAACACACCACAAGCAAATAAGCAATTGTCAATTGCACCACAAATCATTTTAGCAACGCTAATAAAAGAATGTAAAAGAAAATGTTTTAAACAAAATCCAAAGTTTCAATGTTACAAACAGAAATGTTTAAAAATGTGGTGTATACAAGAATAATTTTTTTAATTTTGCTGACATTTGATATTAATGAACTACAGTTAATACACTTTAATTATTTTAACAAGATGACGTCCATTTTTAACAAGATGATGTTTATTGAACTCTGATGATGATGTTTATTGAACTCTGGCAAATAATAGGAAAATGTTGAAAAAAATTACATATTCAATAGGTTATGTTGAGATTTTACCAATCATTCCACCTACAATCATGATGAAAATCATTAACAACTTGTTATAAAAAAACTTTTTTCATTTTAACATAAATAAAAAATATGATAAACATTCAAAAGAAAAATTTATGATAAATTTTAAAATATTTTAAACAATTCATAAAATTAGTAACAAAAAAATTAAATGTAAAACTAATATTAAACTAAATATAAAATGTTAAACAAAAAGGTCGTCTCAATTTAGAGTTTAAATCTGGGGAAAAAAAACATTAAAAAGTTTAAATCTATTTTTTATTGACACAAAGTATAAAAATTAGTATAAAAAAGCATCTAAGCAACTTTGTAAAAATGTTCATTAATTGCAAACAACAAATACATTTTGGAGGATTTAAAATTTACTCAAAAATAACAATTTTGCTAATAATGCCACAGAAACATTTACAAAAATTCCACAATAAATTGAGTTTTTTAATCATTTTAAAACAATATTGAAATTGATAAATACTTTTAGCTAACTTGAAGCAGCCTAGGTGAAATAAAAGGACTGTAACTGCAATCCTTGTTATAGTAGCACTTTCATGCAATCCCTATCGGAATACAAGCACTGTAATTGAGTTGGCAAGCAAGACAGCTAGGTTAACCACAGCCAAGCTTCCCAGCCAAGCCAATATATATATATATATACATATACATATATATATATATATATATATATATATATATATATATATATATATATATATATATATATATATATATATATATATATATATATATATATATATATATATATAAATATATATATATATAAATATATATATATATATATATATATATTTATATATATATATATATATATATATATATATATATATATATATATATATATATATATATATATATATATATATATATATATATATATATATATATACACATCTTTACCAATGTCAAATTGGAAAAAAAGGAATCTGTCTTTATGTCTACACTTGGAAATAATTTCACTCCTTTTATTTAATAGGTTAATAGGTAAACTTAATAGATTGGAATTTTTATGAGCAAGGCTTTCATATATTTTGATGAGACATAATTAACAAGATTTAGTTTTTTAATCTTATTGTATGGCTTTGAGAGTATGGAAAGTAAAAAAAGATTCTTTTGAAAACAAATTACATCACTTTTAATTGCTTTTGAAATTACCCAACACTTCCTTGTTGTCTAAAAAACTTCCGTGTTATCTATATGTAAAAACTATTAAACTAAATGCTAAATAAAAAATAAAATAAATGCAAATTTTATTTAATATTTTTTTTAATGCAGAATGTGTTTGTTTGTTTTTTTTATTTTTCATACTGTTTTTATTTTTTAATTTCATTTATTTTGTTGTCCATAAATCAGTCAGGTTATCCTGCTACTGGTAACATGTAACCCAGTACAATCTGCTTCATGTCCTGCTGCCTTGTAGGATACGTCTTTTTAGGCAAAAGCTAATTAATGCTAACTCCAACATAAAACACC